AGAGAGAGAGAGAGAGAGAGAGAGAGAGAGAGAGAGAGAGAGAGAGAATTTCTATGGGCATATGCCCGTAATCCCAGTGTTTGGGAGGCTCAGACAGGAGGATAGTGAGTTCAAAGCCAGCCTAAACAAAAGCAAGGTGCTAAGCAACTCAGTGAGATCCTGTCTCTAAATAAAATACAAAATAGGGCTTGGGATGTGGCTCAGTGGTTGAGTGCACCTGAGTTCAATCTCCGATACAAAAAAAAAAAAAAAATTTCTATGGGCAAACTTTTCTCTGATGATGTCTGTGCAACACCAAAAACAACCCACTAACCAATTCTCAGTGATACTGATTGCTATTTCCATTGTTGTTATTTTAATAAATTTACAAATCAATGAATTTGATAGGAGATTGAAAGGGACCATAACATCTTTTTTATGAAGACTGAAAGCCTATACTTAAAGGTAAAAATTTCATATAGTTAAAAATAATCCTGGGGGGGGGACTATTTCATCCTTAAGTTACAGCATATAATAATTTGTGTATATACAACCACATTCAACAATTCTTAGGCATATTAAAGTAGAAGCTCCACTGAGCTAGACTAAAGAAAGAAAAAAAAAGTGAAGTCTCATTAAAGATGTCTGGGCTCTCAAATAACTCTAGCTTTAACATAATTATCAAATTCCTAACAATGAATGAAAGATGGTTGGAGAATTCTTCAGTGTTCTAGTTTAGGTGCATGGTTTATTGTATTCTGTTTTAATCTTACCACCTTTAACCTTAATTATTATTGCAAGTTAATCCTATGAGGGGACTGGATTCCAGAATCAACATGTAATGACATATAAACATCCATGCTAAGTATTTTCTTCATGAGTACATGGTGAACAAGATACAAGGGTCATCTCGGTAATTTTTCCCTGTTACTTCCCCCAAATGATGATAGCTTGGTGCTATTAAAGTTCATTTCTAGAAAGATAGTCCTATCCCCTGAAAGAAAAAAGTTTAACTAGGTTCAAGACAACACCTAAATTTTATATTTATTCAACTCATATATAAATATATGAGGGGGGCAGTGTTGCTTAGAAACTACCTATTTTATCTCCCAACCAACAGGAGTGGAGGATGTAACATAAAGAAAGAAAAATTGACAAGAACTAGACCTGTGTTCTACTCTCAGTGCTACCATTGAGAGAATCACTTTACCCCTTTAGGGGTCCAGGTTTACCTACTTGTGAATGAAGGCTTGAGTGCTGTTTTTAAAATATAATCCCATCTAACTTGGGCTGAATAACCTTGGCCAAGTCACTTAAACTTTTCCATGTCTTGATTTCCTCATTTGTTAAATAAAGACAAAAGTTTTTACCTCAAAGAATATTGCAAAAATTAATGTTACAAAAGATTAAATGAGTGGTTATGTGAACATATACACAAAAATATATGGGGGAGGGGGCTGACAGTATACACTCAGTAAAATTAGCTGCCATAAGAATATTATTGTTATGTCGTGATTCTTCCCTCCTATGAGTGAGACCCAGAGTCTAAACCAAGGGAGTATCAGAAGTTACAAAATGGTTACTATCAATTCAATACTCTGTGTCTAATGACCATATGTATCTAAGCTAAGCCAGATGCTCCCTCACTACCACACACTCCATAATGTTCCAAAATGATAGATGCTCATTTTGCCCACAACTGAAACATTAAACTGCCACAACTTGAAGGAAGATAGGCAACTCAGTGATAACTAACCGTCAAGCACCTTTTTCTACCACCACTGATCTTTTTCTAATGATATAAAGGAGCTCTGGGAAACCAACCTAATCAAGAACAATTTAAATTTTGCAAATGGACAACAAATTTCCATTGTAATCACCCAGATCTCATTATAATGAACATGCATGAGATGTAGCCTAGTCTGGCCTGCATAAATGCCTTCAAAATATCCTCATAGGGAATCAGACTAATTGACTTCCACTGTCCCTTCTAACCCCAGGATGCTAACATTTCATTGACTAATAATAATAAGTTTAAAATTTAAGAAGTCAAATAGAAAATAAGTCATTTACAAATGTATTCAGGGTGTTTGCTCAAGATTTGGTGGTGAGGGTCAAGACTAGAACTTTATATTTCTCAAGCCACTACCTTTGCCTTGGCTTGATCACTTTCATCTGGTTAATTTTCTTTTTAACACTGGCTTGGACTCGTTTTGGGGAGGCTTGTTTGTTCCTCCAGATTATTAATTTTCAACTTGTTCAAATAAACCACTTGCCTTTCCGACCTGGTTTGATTAAATCAGTGTTACCTCCTTCCAGAGAAACTGTGCTGCAGTTTGGTTTTTCAGAATCCTCAGCTCCTTCCGATTGCAATTACCAGCTACCCTGCGCCTTCTCGATTTTAATTTCGGCCTCTATTTAAAAAAAGAAAGAAGGGGGGAGAAAAAAAGGATGATATTTAATCCTTCCAATTAACATTTTGCAAGAGCAATCACTTCATGTCTCCCGTCTGTGTGGGGCTAGAGGAGAAGAAATAAAGGGCCACATTACATCATACGGTGGCTAAAAAGAAACACTTTGAGCTATGTCACTGGGGACATTCCCTGCAAAACCAGAATGTCTAGTCACTTTGACCTACAGCAAAAAGTATCAAATAACTAGGACAAGTGCTCATGCAAACAGCTGATCAGATCATTAAACCCTAATACAGCCACTGGGTGAGCATAGCCATATTCAAACCTACTAATTAAAGAAGCAGTCTGGGAAAAAGAGAAAAGAGGAAGGGTTTTGTCTGTTTTTCTTTGTTAGCTTTATTTTATTCTTTCCCAGAAGGACCTGAAAACTCAGGTGAGAGCACCCTTTGGCCAATTTGCAGAATCCCCTACTTCACAATCAGCAGAATCTTTTTTCTCTAAGAAAGGGGAAACCACTCACTCCTTTGCTTCATGACTGCTGCTGCTGGGAGCCAGGCTCATGGCTACCTCATGGTTGAGGCCCTATTTTCTGTCAGTGCATTTATGGTTTGTACAGAGAAAATTATAGCATTTAAGTGGGCAAAAGAAAATCTCTGGTCAGGAACCAGGCAGCTTTCTATTAGAACAGTTGTGCTAAAGAGCAGTTGACAACTTGAGGCTCGTGCAGCTGTTCTGGGTAGATGAGATTATCAGGTGGATCAAGACAGTGATTAAGAATAATAAGAGGAGCTAACATTCCACTGCCCTGAATCTATGGCAGTCCCCGTGTTAAGCACTGTATGAGTATCAGCTTATTTAATAATCTTGGTCACCCTAGGAAGAGCTTCTATTAGTATCTTCATCTTTCAAATAAAGAAATGAAGGTATAGGGTTATTAGTTAGCTCAAGGTCACAGGACTAGAAAACTGCCTTTGCTATTTAGCAACACACCCACCATCTATTCTTCTTCTGCAGCATCCCTGACCAGATGTTATCTCCTTAACTTCTTTCAGAATGACTGTAGCAAGATGTCCTTCCCTTATGAGGCACACAAGTTAAGACCCAATGACATATTCTGCCTTTATTTGAATAAAGGCATATGCTTTTTCAAAAGTTAACACATTCTCTCATATGCCCCCTCCCACAACAGCTCATCAGGTAAGACAGGGTTATTTATTTTGTTTCTAAAATCCATTAGAAATTATATTCAGTGACTAAGCATTCCCCATGATTAAACTTTTAGACATTTTTCAAATCAGTAATTGTCAAGATAGAGTAAGTCGTCAGCTTTACCCATTAGTGGAAGAGAAATAGATAGCCGCTGTATTTGAAGCAGAGTCTGAATGTGAGCTGGGAGAGGGAAGGTGCATTATCAAACCACAGGGACCACAGCCAGCACCACCCCAAGAAGCCTGGAGACTCTAGGGCTCAGAGAATGTTCTGGGTGTCTGCTCTGCCTATCTCCACAGGCTTTGGAACACTAGACCCTGATACAGTAAGTGTGCCTGAAAGATAGAGCCATTTGGGAAGTTGACATTTTCCCTGAGTTCCCACCCTTCTGATTTTTACTCCTATTTCTAAGGAGTGGTGTAAAAAATACAGGCTCCAAAGGCACCCAGCACCGTGACCACATCCCTGCTCTCCTACCTACTATAACTGGCAAGTTAGCTTGCCACTCCATGTTTCTTCTGAAAAATGGAGATATTGGTTGAGAGGATTAAAGGAACTAATACACATAAAAAGGTTAGCATAGTTTTACTTATTAAGCATTGAAAGACATGATCCTCATTTCTATCACTGATGAGCTTTCATATTTGCTATGGTATGTGGACAAAACTGCTAATACACAATGTTTGGAGACTTCAAAAAACAAAATTCCGTACCTGTGGTCACATAACTTCAGGGTACTATCTCAAGGTTTTGGAATGTGTTTAAAAATAGGACCAACAGACTGGGACAATCACACACTTCACTGTGTCAAAAATGACTCACTTGGGGTTCCCCTAGGGATTTGTCCTTTGAATAATCTTGGTTAGCAATTTAATAACTTTAAAAGCAGATTTTAAAATGCACGCCACATTACAAAATTTCTGGGCAGTAAAATACCTATCAAAATGATAAGGCTAAACATAGGGACTAACATTTAAGATTTGTCAGAGACCTGAATACAAGCTTAGTTTTTGAGTCAAGTAGACTTGAGTTTGAATCCTGTCACTTGTTCAATGTACGAAGTGGGGCAAATAATTTTTGCCTTGGTACCTCCTTCCTCACTTATAAATTGGGAACCCTAAAAGTGCCCGATCCATAGTTTGTAAAGTCTATGAGTTAATGCAAGTGAAGTCCTACTGTAGGACTAAACATAATAAGTAACCTATGCCTAAATATAATAAGTGACCAAGAAATGTTACCAAATCGTGGTGATGAGGTGGTCATAATGATGCTGCTGGTGGTAATGGCAATACTGATGGTGGTGGTGGTTGTAATGATGGTGGTGGTGAGTTGGTCATAACAATGATACTGGTGGTAATGGGAATGATGGTGGTGGTGGTGGTTAAGAGTTGTGGTAATGCTGGTGGTAGTGGTGGTTATAACAATGGTGGAGTGAAGCTCTCACAACATGACGCTATGCATCTTCCCTGAGTGTTCTGTAGTAGCAATGCTCTCTCCTTGACAATTACTCACTCACATTTCTATCTGAACTTAAGAAACCCCTCTTCCCTTAAGCTCTCCTGGCCTCCAACATGGAACTGGTCACTTCTAATCTTATGCCTTCTGTTTCTCATATCAGTGTCCATCCTAGTGCCTATAATTCCTCACCATAATCTTGTATCTACATTTCTAACTCTTTTACTAGAGTAGTCCCTCCTTGAAGGTGGGAAGTTTGTTTCTTGGTCTTTGTACCCCTAGTGCCTCATGCAGTGCCACACACATGACAGTTACTTAATAAGCCTTTGGGGAATAAATGGTGTAAATAAAAGAAAGTGAAACAATGGGCATTAAAAGCGATATATACAAGTCTGCTCTGCGATTTTAAGAAAATATAAAACTGGGAAAGGTCTAATATACTAAATTTGGAGAAAAAGTAAAGGCAGTGAGGTTTTAATTCTTAGGCTCATGGAACACAGATAAGCTGAGCAAGTACACATTAACAAAATAGTAGAACAATCGATGCTCAAGGCCTGCAATCCTGAAGTTAAATAGTCCTAGGATGATAAAATCAAGGGCTGCTTTCATTATAAATGAATATATGAGTCCAAGAGCTAATTCAAGTGGAAACCTGCAAATAGACTTTCCAAAAGTTGAAAATAATTCACTGAAGGTTGACCCAAGTTCCTTTAATGTTTTTGTTTAATTCAACAAATAACTAAGGAGCACCTACTTATAGGCTCAAGAATGAAATACAAACACAAAAAATGCAGCTGCTGCCCTAAGGAAGCTTGTATTCCAGAGGTAAGACAGATATGAGCAATCATTTACATAGGACTTCTCAAATCATCCAAAGCAAGGAAACCTTTTCTATTATTTCATTTTCTATATGTCACAGATGGATACTTTTAGAAATTAATAAAAATAAGCTACTGAAAAATAAAATTATACAATGATATACAAAACCCGAGCCTCAAATTTTCCTGTCAGTCAATAAGCAAAGTCATCGTCAAATTGCTACAACTGTTACTAAATATAGGTACCATCAATCTCTGTACCAGGTCTACAAACACATTTTGAGTACTATTGATACGTAACATGATAAGCTAATTGTATTAACAAAGAGAATAGTGGAAGAATATGACAAGAGGTTTGTAAATAAATTTAAATTATTTGAAAACCATACCTATTTGATTAATATATTTTCCCCAAAGCCTACCTACCGCTCACACTAAAATCCTATTTTTCTCTTCCTCTACAGAACCCATTTTCATAAAAATGTAGCCCATATTTGCTGACACCTTACCATGCTGGAGCTATTTCATAGCCTAGAACAAGAGAGGATCATGCAGCACCTCTTGGTATTTCTCTTATGATATTTTTTTATCATGCAATGTGAGATACCTATTTATCTCTTTTTCTCATTAGATTTTAAGCTTCTCAGGCAAGAACTTCATCATCCTTGCCTTAATGTTCTGCACAACACCTCCTAAAACTTCAAACTTGGTAAATACTCATTAATTGTTTGCTAGATGAGTGGGGAAATGAAGTAATGTATGAACAAGTGAATACACTTCTACTCAGTACCTCCAAAAAACACATTATTGGGATGTGCTATGTTTTAATTTATTTGATATCAAAGGTTAATGCTTCCCTTCAGACTTAAGCTGCTGGAATCACTTAATTTTTCTATATTAGGTCCACATGTGAAATTCCAGCCAACATCAAATGAAAGTTTGATTAAACAGACAGGAACAACATGTGTGATGGATGTCAATTCCCCCCAGGGCAGGATGTGGGTCTGGAAACCAGAAGACTTGACACTACAGAGCTGCAAGTTCTCAAAAGGAGTCCATGAACTGTGCCCAGAGAGAAACAATGTGGACTTCACCTCCAGCAAAGGAACAGGGCAAGTTCAGAGACCTGCAGGTATCTGGATGGAGTCCTCAGAGGTGAACCTGCTCTTTGCTCACCCCCACATCATTAGGGTAGAAAATGGAGAATTCTATGGTGTTGCAAAAATATTTCCAACCTAAGGAGGCAAAAGGATACAGTAATTTCAGTTCCAAGGTTATTCTAGCTTCTCAGAACCTCTCCTTGCCCTTGAAGGCGGTTTCCTGGAGCAGCTAAGATTCCCGGGATTCTGCAAACAGCTAGAGTTATCTGGTGAGTGATCAGAAGGCTCCTGGGAGGTGGCCCAGCTGGGATTCCTTCCAAACCGTGTCTGCACCACCTGTAACTCTTCACTACATATGCTTGCCAGAAGATCATCCCAAGCCTGGGGGGAGGGGGAGAGCTGCCATTCCAGATAGAAC